ACATGTACTTCCTAGGTAGAGAGTATTCATAGAATATTTATTCGCTGAAATAAATGGTTTTTCGATTAAAACCTTGTGGATTTACTCCTTTTTCAAATATATTTTCTTCCTACTATCAAAAGCTCATCTGGTTCGTTATTTTCGCAACTCTGTTTTTCTTCCTTCTGCAAATATGTAGCTGGAAAGCAGCGGTACAGATATTTCAATTGAAATGCTTCCTTCTCTCTCTGATCATCGTAACATTCACGGTTACCACTCGCCGCGATAAACTTTCGGGCCAGAAAACGATTATTGTTTGTTGGACAGGAAAAACAAATTACAAAACATTACAAAACATTACAAAACAAACAAACTTAAAGATGCAAAACACGTTATTATTTGTAAATGGTAATTATATTAATGCGATGTCTCTTTTCTTTTCGAGAAGCAAACGAATGTGATTTTCGTATCGGTATTTTTAATTTTTATCTCAGGTCAAAGTTAAACGGGCGCTCAAGTATCTTTTGTACGCGCGATTTTTCTTTTCCTTAAAAAATTTCATTCAGACAGGCCCTGTCTCGTTACTACGTCGATTGTTAACATACACATATGTATACATACGTGAACGCGTGCTCAACGAGGAAATCCAGGGTTAAGTAAAAAACAAAAGAGATTGTCGAATCGAAGGCTTCGGAATAAGAGTTGATAAGAGTTGATTTTGGCAATGTTATTTCGCAAAGACGGACACTTGAAATACTTACATATGTACTTACATATGTAGGTAGTATTCCGAAGAGCATTTAACGAGGGGAAAAGTGGAATTGAACAGTCGATACGATTAATATGATACGATAAATATTTCGCGACAGAGCAGATTCTGATTAGCGACACACAGCAGCATGCCGAGATCTGCCGTTTATAATAGAATCTTGGATGCACGAGCGAGCGGACAAATCAGCCAGTTGACTTTACGACAGTCAACTGTTTCGCCAGACGTGCCAATTCTCGTTTTATTGTTTTTCTTCGACGGGAGCCTCAAGCACTCGTCCTTGCCGACGATCGGGTTAGTGCTCCCCTTTCGACGAAACAGAAACAGGTAAATTCACCTTGATGCTCGAAACTTTGCATTTGAGAATAATAAGAAAATAAGAAAATGTTGCAATTATGATTATGGAGTTACGGAGTTGAACGCAACACGGCGTTGGAGGAAGGAGGGAGATTGGGCGTGCAAGATCCGTGAGATCCGTGGACGAGGGCTGTGCGAGGCTCGTCTGTTATTCGCGAGGGTCTCGGATGAGTAGAGGCGGCAAGGGTAGATCAACCTGGAGACTTTCTGCGAAGGGTCGTGAAACGACGTCGAAGGAACGGGAACAGCTAGAGGGGTGGTTCCGAATCGCCGAGAGGGATGCAACCTCTTTCTCCGGTTCGTGTCCAGATATAGTGCGAATACCAACGGGTCGGTTAAATTCTTCCTCTCCTCGTCATCTCTTTTGCGCGTACGTTCACTTCGAAATAGGAATTATGCGAGACACGCGAGGAGAACACACTCGCGAGTATTCGACAAATAAAACGGGCTAAAAGCAAACTAACACGCACAAACGTACACGTGCTACATACATACTTACGTTTGCTTGTATGCCGGAGAAGATAAAACGAAGAGAGAGAAAAGGAAGGCGACGAATCATTCGGATTTCATGGTAAAAAGATAGTTGTGAAAGGGGCTGCGGTTACGAAGCGACAGCGAAGGCACTTGAATGCACTTGAATTAACTTACGGTGTATATTTCTAGCACTCTGCGTTTAGCCCCGGAGCGCCGGAGAGCTATCCGATATGCTGGTGAAATCTACGAAATTTCCTTTGCGTCACGTTGCCTCCTCCCTCATCTTCATTTTCAATAAAACCATATCCAACGACCTACAACCTACCTGGTATTTTTCACGTTGGAGCGACACTCGACTTTATCCAGATAACGTCTCAGAATTATCTAACGTGATTTCTTTCGATAGAAGTTTCATACAAGTTCTTTCACCATCGATAATATCCCTTTCGACGCAAGTTCCTCAGCAGCCCTTTAATCTCGATATACGGAGGCATAGAGCTATCGAGTGAGCGAGACAGAAAGAAGGATAGCGCGATAGCTAGCTACTTTATACTCGGAGGCTACCTAGCTGCTTGAAAGGGGAGGTATTACGGGGTTACTAAAGTGTTGTATGGCCTCCCCAAGCCCCATAAGGATAGCCCTCAGGCACGCACCCCCGTTATCGTATGCGTATGCAGTTTTTTCGCTAGTGCGTGCGCGGGGCTCGCAGCCCTTATATGTGCAGTGAAGGTGAAGGGGGCATCGGGTAACACGGGCAGGCAGCCACCCAAACGACCGAAACCTGAATGCTCACCCAGGATCATCCTGGTATTCCTCTATGCGTTCTGTCCGTTTTTTCGTGTCTTCCTTCCTTCTTTT